CACTCACACATTTGTTGTGACGTTACATTAATAATGGCTGAAGTTGTATTCATTATGTGGCTTGGAAAGCTAAAAAATGCTGGGCTTAGGAGAAGTTATGCCCTGGATCTGAGAAATAATGGGTGTGAGATTTATAAACTATGCCTTATAATTATCAACAGAAGGAGCCGTATTAAGGACATCTGCTTCCCTATTGCAACAGACAGGAATAACCTACATTCTTAGCTTAATCCCTGTTTAGATCAGAGCAAGGAAAAAAAACGGCAGGCAGTCCTTGATTTATGACTCAACTAGCACAAAAATTTCTATCCTGAGTCAGCCTGATCCTAACACGAGTCATCACACGTGAATGGAGCCGATTTTATGACCATTATTACCATGGTTGTTAAGTGAATCAGACAGTTATTAATTGAATCTGGGGACTTTGCTCATCGGAAGCCGGCTGGGAAGTTTCATTTATTGTCATTGCCCCTCGTACAACGAAATAAAACTCCATCTTCAGTGTGTCAGGATTCCAGCAATTGCCCTAATTAAATCATGATTCTCAAACCAAACTTCAAAAAACTTCAAAGGGTTCATTAGAGGTGACCTACTGGCACTGCCCTGTAGGAAGCCAACTATGGCCTAGGTCATTTACAGTCCCCTGTGACCCTGTTTCCCCCCTGGGTGTGTCATAAACCAGATTCTCCAATTGAGCCCATTCACGGGCTGGGTGTCCTCATTCACGTTCTCCAATTAAATATATTCCCAGGCAAAAGCTCTGGTAGTTTAGTTACAATCTTTTGAAGATAAGAGTTGGAATGTACTTCCACTTTCAAACTACTGCATCTGCTCTTCCAGATTTCCTTCCTCCCCTCCCTTTTTTAAAATGGCAACTACTAAAACAGGCATAGGAATGGTTCATGAGTTGACATTCGGCTCCTCTCACTTCTTGAAGGTGACCTGTATTAAGCAAAAACAAATTGAGTGCAGATATAGAATTTAGGGTTGCGAACAACGCCCCCAGGCTTGGTTGGATTTTCTGCATGGAATCTTGCTATAAGGCGATCGGCCTGGATGTTCCTACTCTTTATCCAAGATGCCTCTGATAATTGGTAGCCCTTCCACTTGATTTGCCATCAGGATTCCAGCAATCGCTCTAATTAAATCATGATTCTCGAGTCAAACTTCAAGAAACTTCAAAGGATTTATTAGAGGCGATATACTGGCACCGCCCTGTATGCAGCCAACTCTGGCCTACGTCATTTACAGTCCCCTGTGACCCTGTTTCCCCCCCACTGGGCGTGTCATCAATCAGATTCTCCAATTGAGCACATTCACAGGCTGGGTGTCATCAATCACGTTCTCCAATTAAATATATTCCCAGGCAAAAAAACTCTGGTAGTTTAGTTACAATCTTTTAAAGATAAGAGTTGGAATGTACTTTCGCTTTCAAACTGCTGCATCTGGTCTTCCAGATTTCCTTCCTCCCCCCTTTTTTTAATGGAAACTACTAAAGCAAGCATAGGAATGTTTTATGAGTTGACACAGCGTACATTATAACTATAAAAATAAAACACAAACGTACATCCTTCACATCAGTGGTGGGATTCAATTTTTTTTCCTACCAGTTCTGTGGGTGTGGCTTGGTGGGCGTGGCAGGCGAAGGATACTGTAAAACTCTAGTCAGAGGTGGTATTTGCTGGTTCTCCAAACTACTCAAAATTTCCGCTACCGATTCTCCAGAACTGGTCAGAACCGGCTGAGTACCACCTCTGCTTCACATTCTATACAATTGAATGGAAAACCCGATAGTGCATCAACATTGCACTCTGCAGTAGAATGTCATTCACGTTCAGGCAGTGTCTCAGGATCGAAATGAAAAATAATTTTCCATGCAGTTCAGAGTTCAACCGTAGAATCAGTGGATTCAGCCAGTTCGCACGACTTCGGTAGAACCGGTTGTTAACTTTCCGAGCAGTTTGGCGAACTGGTTGTTGGTAGAAACCTTTAGGGCAGAAAACCGGTTGTTAAAATTATTTGAATCCCACCACTGCGCGAAATCCATTCTCACTGGAGGCTGACAATGCAATCTAAGGTTGCATGGACAGAGGGATAGAATCAAGAACATATGAAATGTTAATACCACTTTATAATGCCTTGGTAAGGCCATACGTGGAATATTGCATCCAGTTTGGGTCACTGCAATATAACACAATATAACAAAACAACCCAATGTAACACCGAATATGTTATATGACTACAGAATATGACTATAACCTTGTTGCTTGTGTCTTTACGATTTATCTTGTTTTATTTAGTTTCCTAGTATGGTTTTGATCGCTTATTTCGTATCCTATGACTATCACTAAGTGTTGCATCTTAGGATTCTTGATGAATGTATTTTTTATGTACACTGAGAGCTTATGCATCGAAGACAAATTCCTTGTGTGTCCGATCACACTTGGCCAATAAAGAATTCTATTCTATAAAAAAGATGTTGAGACTTTAGAAAGAGTTCAACAAAGGTGATCAGAGGGCTGGAGGCTAAAACCTATAAAAAAAAAGGTTGCAGAAATTGGGTATGTCTACTTTAATGAACATGGGGCGACATGAGAGCAGTATTCCAGTATTTGAGGGGCTGCCACAAAGAAGAGGATGGGGTCAAGCTATTCTCCAAAGTGCCTAAAGGTAGGACAAGAAGCAATGGATGAAAACTAACCAAGGAGAGAAGCAACCTGGAATTAAGGAGACATTTCCTGATTGTGAGAACAGGAATCAGTGGAAGGTTTTGCTTTCAGGAGTTGGACTAGTCACTAAATGACCTACAAGGTCCCTTCCAACTCTGTTAATCTGCCAAAAATTGTGGGTGTTCCATTACAGGAGGCTTGTAAGAAGAGATTGGACAACCATTTGTCTGGTACGTGAGAAAATTTTGGTGGTCCGCAGAGAAATTTCACCCCCAAAGCACCCCCAAGCAATTAATGTGGAGTGTGAAGGATGTGTGTTTGTGTTTATTTTCATGGTCATGATGTGCACTGAAGATGGTGTTTGATTTCATTGTATGAGGTGCAATGACAATAAAGTAAACTAACTAACTAATCCAGGCTGTGCGGGAACACAAGGCTGTGCCATCCACATGGCCTGCGGGAGCACAAGGCTTGCGTTGCTTGCATTGCGAACAACACGAGGTAGTGAGGGGAAGGGGGAAAGGGTGGAGGGGGGAACTTGCCCCACATGCCTCGCCTGGCCACCGGGCTGCTTCTTTCCGCTTCTTTCTTCTTCTGCTTTTGCTGCATGCAAGGAAAGCAGCCAAAGTCTTTCTTTCTCTCCCCCAAACTCTGCCAGAAGTCTTTGGGACCCTGCAAGGCCTCCTGCTCCAAGAGGCTGTGCCGGCAAAGACTCGTTTCTGGTGGAGTTTGGAGGAGAGAAAGAAAGACTTCTGCAGCTTCTGCTGCTTTCCTTGCATGAAGCCAAAAGTCTCTCTCTCTCCCTCTCCCCCTGAGAACAGAGCTGGAGACGGTATCCTACCGTCCCAAATAAAGAACGATTGATCGGTAGGATAACGGGGTGCGGAATTTTCTTGCAGACTTTTTGGGGGATTTTCGCAGGGTCTCTGGTCCTCGGGATTTGAAATGATGAGTTTGGTGGTCCCTGAGGTCCAAAAGGTTGGCGACCCTTGTCATAGAGGGTCTCCTGCTTGAGGAGGGGGTTGGACTAGAAGACTTCCAAGTTCCCTTTCCAACTCTGTTATTCGGTTACCTGAAAGAAAGCTGAGACTGGCTGGGAAGCTGAGAAACTGATTTTGGAACGAGATGGTTATCAGCCACTTTGCAAAACCAAAAGCCGGGCTGAACTTGTAGGACATGAGCTTTTGAGCATTGGTGATGGGCGTGGGAAACGGCACTCAAAAGAGACCCCCCCCACCCCTCAGCTCTGGGCCACTAATCCCGACAGCTAACTCTGATTAACTTCCAAGAATTGTGAGTTGCCTCTTTTCCCGTAAAGGAATTTTAGCAATGTGCAGGACAATGCAGTCTCTTGGTGCTGGATTACTTCCACCATTTTGCTTTGGGTTGATGTCAACAATATATCTTCTTATTACCAAGGGTCTGGGTGTATGTAGACCCCCAGCAATGAGAGCCAGTTTGGACTACCTAGTGATGAAGGCATTAAGCTGGAAGCCAGGAGACAGTGAATTCTAGCCCCAATTTAGGCATTAAAGCCAGCTGAGTGACTTTGGGCCAATCACTAGGAAAGGGTGAATTCTAGTCCTGCTATAGGCACGAAAAATAGATAGGTGACAAACAAGCCCATTTCTGGACTTCCAGAACTTTCGGGAGGGCCATTTTTCGCCTCCCCCAGAGTCTGGAGGCTTCCCTTGGGCTTCTGGGAGGACAAAAACGGCCTCCCACGGGCTCCGGAGGCCCTCCAGGAGCCGGAAACAGGCCCGTTTGCAGACTTCCGGAACTTCCGGTTCAGCCTGTTTTTTTGCCCTCCCAGAGCCTCCGCGTGGACTCTGCACTTACCTGCATCCCAAATGGGCCCTGTGGAGATTCCTGGGAGGGGCGGGGTGAGGTGGATGGGGCCAGCTGGTCGGTTCAACTAGCGGTTCACCGAACCAGATGTAAATTTAACATCCGGTTCACACGAACCAGGCCAAACCGGCTGAACCTCACCCCTGAGTGATTCCCTTAACATCCTGTGGCAAGAAAGGTGGTACCATGTGGGCCAAACTCATTCCACCATGGTCTGGCTTAGCAATAGGACCTTTGGGCTCCATTCCGGTCCTTAGTCGAGGACAACCTGTATTGCAAAGCATTCATGACCTCAAAACTGGACAAGTCTACCCAGACAGCGAAAATATCCTGAGATCCTCGATTTCCTTTCTTAGCTTCATTATGAAGAAACATCTCCCAGATGATCCTCTTGGGATCTCGTTCCAGGGATGAGGTTAAAGGCAGGAATGACGCTGTGAATAAGCAAGGAAGGTGGAGAAGATAAGAAGGATTCGAGATAAGCTCTTCCAGTACCTTCAAGCTTTTTTTTTGGTTTTTGTTCAGAATTGGGAAATCTGAAACTCAGGAGCTCCTGGTCTTGGGGAAATAACTTCCTTCCTCCACCTACTGGACTATGATTAAGCATGACACCTTAAAGAGTGATCTTATCTTCTCAGCATAACTCACCTTCTGAAAGTTTTCCAGAAAGTGACGCTTTCCGGAGGAGATCCGGGAAAGAAGGACAACAACAAAGTAGGACACCAAAAATTCCAGTGGAATTCCACTCCCCTCCCCCTTATTGGATCACAGGACAGAATCAGAATCAGAATAGAGCGGGAAGGGACCTTGGAGGTCTTCTAGTCCACCCCCCTGCTCAAGCAGGAGACCCTAATATCATTTCAGACAAATGGTTATCCAATCTCTTCTTAAAAACTTCCAGTGTTGGAGCACCCACGACTTCTGGTGGCAAGCCATTCCTCTGATTAATTTCCAGAATGACAGAGTTGGAAGGGACCTTGGAGGTGTTCTAGTCCACCCCCACTGTTCAATCCAGGAGATCCTTTACCTTTCAGACAAGTGGCTTTCCAGTCTCTTCTTAAAAACCTCCAGTGTTGGAGCACCCACAGCTTCTGAAGGCAAGCTCTTCCACTGGTTAATTTTTCTCATTGTTAGGAAGTGTCTCCTTAATTCTAGGCTGCTTATCTCCTTAATTAGTTTCCATCCGTTGTTTTTTGTCTTGCCCTCTGGTGCTTTGGAAAAATAAGTTGACCCCCCCCTCCTCTTCTTTGTGGCAGCCCCTCAAATACTGGGATGCTGCTATCATTTTCCCCCTAGTCCTTCTTTTCTCTAGACTAGCCAAACCCAGATCCTGCAACCGTTCTTCATATGTTTTAATCTCCAGGCCTTTGATCATCTTAGCTGCTCTTCTTTGCACTTCTTCGAAAGCCTCAACATCCTTTCTGGAATGTGGTGACCACAACGGGATGCTGTATTTCAGGTGTGGCCTGACTGAGGCTTTATAAAGCAGTACTAACACTTCTTGGGTCCAGCAATTCTGTCGAATCTGGAAATGATTCTACAATACATACAAGTCGTCCCCGGCTTCCAACTACAACGGAGCCCATTGCTAAGCGAGACGTTAAGTGAATTTCCCCCCCCCATTTTATGACCTTCCTTGACACAGCTGCGAAGTGAATCACTGCAATTGGTAAGTCAGTCACACGGTCGTTAAGCAAAGCCGGCTTCCCCATTGACTTTGCTTGTCAGAAGGTTGTGAAAAGGGATCGGCGTGGCCTCGGGACACTGCAACCGTCGTAAAGCCAGTTGCCAAGCATCTGAATTTTGATTACATGACTGGGGGAGGGATGTGGCAACTCTCATGTGAAAACTGTCATCAGTCACTTTTGGTAACTTCAAATGGTTACTTAATTAAGGGTTGTAAGTCAAGGACTATTAGTTTCTGGCCTTAATCGTAAATAACAGCCTAGCTCCATTTAAGGTGAGATTCTAGCTTGCTAGAAATTCAAAAGGAACATAATTCCCCTTTATAATTTCTTCACTATCATCTAGCACAGTGGTCGCCAACCAGTGGGCTGGGGACCACTGGTGGTCTGCGAGAAAATGTTGCTGGTCGGCAGAGAAATGTCACCCCCAAAACAATTAATCCAGGCTGCCTGGGAACACAAGGCTGCCCCACCCACATGGCCTGCGGGAACACAAGGCTTGCATCGCTTGCATTGCGAACAACACGAGGTAGTGAGGGGAGGGGGGAAAGGGCGGAGGGGGGAACTTGACCCACTTGACCCACGTGCCTGGCCTGGCCACCGGGCTGCTTCTTTCCGCTTCTTCCTTCTTCTGCTTTTGGCTCCATGCAAGGAAAGCAGCCAAAGTCTTTCTTTCTCTCCCCCAAACTCTGCCAGAAATGAGTCTTTGGGACCCTGCAAGGCCTCCTGCTCCAAGAGGCTGTGCCGGCATCACAAAGACTCATTTCTGACGGAGTTTGGGGGAGAGAAAGAAAGACTTCTGCTGCTTCTGCTGCTTTCCTTGCACAAAGCCAAAAGTCTCTCTCTCTCTCTCTCCCCCTGAGAATGGAGCTGGAGACGGTATCCTGCGATCCCAAATAAAGAACGATTGATTGGTAGGAAAACGGGGTGGGGAATTTTCCTGCAGACTTTTTTTTGGGATTTTTGCAGGCTCTCTGGTCCGCGGGATTTAAAATGATGAGTTTGGTCGTCCCTGAGGTTCAAAAGGTTGGCGACCCCTGATCTAGCATGATTGAGAGCAAAAGAAGAAGAAGGGGACGACAGAGGAAGAGGTGGCTGAATTGAGTCACTGAAGCAGTCGCGGGAGCTTAAATGGACTCTGGGGCTGTGGGATTCAATCGGTGTAAAAAACGATCCGGCGAGCGCGTACGCACAGCGTTTCAAAACCCCCCTATTTTCAGCTCTAAAACTTGCCTTCTGCAGCGAGTGAGTAAAACAGCTGAGGCACGGCAATGCGCTGCAAAACATGAAAATATAGGACAGACTAGGGCAGGGGTGGGTGAACGGGGCCAACTAATCGCTGGAATTACCAGTTTGCCTGAACCGGTCCAAACCAGCTGAATCCCACTCCTGCTCCGGGGGATGGTAGAGGACAGGAAGGCCTGAAGGAACGTTGCCCATGGGGGTTGCGATGGGTGAGACACAACTTCGCAACTAAGAACAGCAACAGTCATCTAGCAAAAATATTCCTCACCTGTAGAAATATTTTCTGTGGCAGATGACCGATGAACCATTATAGCAGTGATGGTGAACCTTTTTGTTGTGGTGTGCTGAAAGCGTGAGCAATGCGCCTCCCTGCCCCTTACCTGCACTGCGCATGTGCATGCCTCCCAGCTGATTTTCGGCCCGTTTGAGGCAATTTTAATCCTTCCGGGAAGCCTCTGCGGCCTCGGGAGGCTGAAAAATGGGCCTTCTGGAAATACTGGAAAAGTGTCCGTTTTCAGCCTCTGGAGGACCTTTGGAGCCCAGTGGAAGCTGTGTTCACACCCCCCTCAAAGGCTCGAGGGAAGCCTCCGCAGCCTTGGGAGGCCGAAAAACAGGCTCGTTTCAGCACTTCCGATATTTCCAGAAGGCCCATTTTTCGGCCGCCCGAGGCTGCAGAGGCTCCCCTTGAGCCTCCGAGAGGGCGAAAACGGCCTCAAATGGGCTGAAAATCAGCGGAGAGGCGCACACATGCGCAGTGCAGTTAAGTTTGTCTGGGGCTCGTGTGCCGACACAAACGGCTCTGTGTGACCCCTGTGGCACGCGTGCCATAGGTTCGCCATCACGGCATTATGGCAAGGATATCTGTCCAAAAAAGGTTTCTCTGGTGTGTTGATTGTGATTGTCATAGCCACTATCTGGAATTTTACGGACAGGTTGGGCTAAGGAATCCTTTAAAAAAAAAAAAAAGGTGTAACGTAGGACAACCAGAACTTTAAAGAAAATTATTTTCTCCTGAGCAAATGGTTGTTATCAACCACAAATTGCCAAGCAGATAAGAGGCACATCTCTTGCTGAGAAACAATGTTCCATTTCTGGGAAGTGTTGTCTTGCTAATTTGCTGGAGTTATTTAAAAGCATCACCAAATCTATCATTAGAGAGAACTTTCCAGGAGAAGGTCTTTAATTTCTAAAAGCTTTTGACTACACCCTTCACCAAAGTCCTTGGATGCATTTTACAGTTATGGAAGAAATGAAAAATTCTAGCTGGATGAATGGGCCCCAAATGTACTTTTTTTAAAAAAAAATTCTTTAAATATATCTGTGCTTTGGAGAATAAGTTGACACACACCCTCTTCTTTGTGGCAGCCCCTCAAATATTGCTATCATGTCACCCCATGTCCTTCTTTTCATCAAACTAGACCTTCACAATTCCAGCAACCGTTCTTCACGTGGTTTTAGCCTCCAGTCCCCCTAATCCTCTTGGTTGCTCTTCTCTGCACTCTTTCTAGAGTTTCAACATCTTTTTTGACATTGTGGCCACCAAAACTGGATGCAGTATTCCAAGTATGGTCATACTAAGGCATTATAACATTTCATTACAACATTTCATATGATCTTGATTCTATCCCTCTATCCATGCCGCCTAGAATCGCATTGTCAGCCTCCAGTGAGAGTGAATTGCACTATTAAACTCTGAATTGCTTCCAGAAATATTTGTTGTTTCGATCTGGAGAAATTGCCTGAGTGAGAAAAACTTCACAGGCAGCTATCTCTCCATAGATGGAGCTAGTGTAGTATGCATTAACACTTCATGTGATCTTTAAAAAATATATTATTATTATTATTATTAAAAAATCAATGTCTCCATAAACAGTCTGCTGTCTGGATACAATTAACTTTGAGAAATAGTAATAATGATAAAAACAATACTATTCATAACATTAATAATGATCACATCGTAAGAATGGTGTTTGCTTATCCACTTTAGTAAACCTGCCTTACATAATTAGTCATTCTTTTATGCTTTCAAATTTCTAACTTCTGTTTCTGTTAGCCATTGATAAAACAAATCCCAGGTTAAAAAGTGTTCAGTTTCTTCCTTCTCCTTGATTTCAAGTGTTAATCTATCCATTTCTGCCCATTCTAATATTTTTTTTTTTTTTAATTACATTTTCATCTGTAGGGATCTCTTCGTTTTCCCACTGGTGTGCAAACACAGTTCTAGCTGCTGTTAACCTGTGTAAAATTAAACATGTATTCCCTTTGTTGTATTTTTTCCTGGTAAAATACCCAACAAAAATATATATATATTGCTGGTTGATTCTTCATTCTGTCCCTCTGTTAATGTGGGTTGACTTTTATCCTAGGCTATCCTAGGTTATCCTGGGTCTGAGTCCAGGTGGAGCTCTCCCTTCACAATCAGGAGGCTGTGAGTTCGATCCTAGGTAGAAGCAGGGGGTTGGACTAGATGAACTCCAAGGTCCCTTCCAACTCGGTTATTCTGTGAACCTTCAACCAGCTTAGGAAGGTTGGGAATTAAATTTGGCAACAGTCCAAACGACCTGCTTGACCCAGGCAGTGACTTCAGTGTGAGTGAGTGTGCGTGCGTGAGACGTTGCTGACAAGAAGAGGAGAAAAGGGAAGAGAGAGAAAACCGCACACCACTCCGTACAAGGCTGTGCAGTGGGTGTGTCAGGGCGTGGGTGTGCACAAGCGGCAGCCACAGGGCAAAGGAGCACACGGGGGAGGGTGGATCCAGGACATCTCCACCTGCTTATAAGCTGGGGAAGGTCTGGATTCTGAACATGAGCCCCAGAGAGCTGTGGCTGAGAAGTTCAGAACCAAGCACCTGCGAACTCCAGGAGCCATGGGGAGGCAGAAGGAAGTGCTGTCAGTCATTGGATCGAGGCTGCGGATCAGAAATAAGTTGCTCCGGCAGGCCCTGGCTGAATGCCTGGGCACCCTGATCTTGGTGGTACGTAAATGGATGGGGGCTGGGTGGGGAAGAAGGTGGGGAAGAAGGAGGAAGAGAAGCGAGAGGGAGAAAAAGAAGAGAGAAGGGAGGAGGAAGAGAACAAGAAGGAGAAAAAGAAGAGAAAAGGGAGGAGGAGGAGGAGAACAAGAAGGAGAAAAAGAAGAGAAAAGGGAGGAGGAGGAGAAACAGAAGAGAAAAGGGAGGAGGAGGAGAACAAGAAGGAGAAAAAGAAGAGAAAAGGAGAAGGAGGAGAAATTATGATAGTAATGGAGAATGAGGAGGAGGAGGATCAAGAGGGGGAGAAAGAGAAGGAGAAGAAAGAAGGAAAGGAGAAGGTGAAGAGAGAAGGAGAAATGAGGGTTTGTGGTGGAGGATGAAGAGGAGGAGGAGGAGGAGGAGAGGGAAAGGAGAAAGAGGAGAATAATGGGAGGGAAAGGAGAGGGAGAAAGAGAAATGAGGGCAGTGGTGGCAGGTGAGGAGGAGAAGAACCATGAAGAGGAGAAAGGGAAAAAGAGGAGAAGAAGGAGAGGAAAGGGAGAAGGAGGAGAAGAAAGAGAAGGAGAAAAATGAGAGAGAAAGGAGGAGAAGGAGGAGGAGGAGGAGAAAGAGAAGGGGAGAAATAATGGGTGTATTGGAGGTTTTACTCTCTGTGGCACAATGAAATGCCCTGATGGAGTATGGCAGGAATAACCTGGAATAATTCACTAAAGATCTCCTGCTCTGTTCACACAAGGCAAGATTCTTGGTTAGTGTTAATCTTGGTCTGTTTTTACTCTGGCTGAATATCTACTCTATTGACATCCAACCTGTTTGGTTAATTTTGGGTGGGAGGTACTGTTCTAACCTAGGAAATGGGCTTGCTTAAGAAGCAGGCTCAGACTGTTGTGTGAATGCAGCCAGCAACTGAAAATCACCGCTAGTTGTGCCCATTGTGAATTTGCTTCCAGCAGTGATGAAGAATTGAAAATCCTTTCAAAAATCGACTCTTTCGAACAGGCTAGCCTTGGGGTTTCACAGAGCTCAGTTAAGCACTGTTGAAAGGTTCTATCTAATAAGAAAGTTTGCCCATTGGGTGTCAAAAAGTTTGAATTTCTTGAAAGGGCTCTTCCAGCTTCTTCCAGAATTCAGATGGGGATTGCTTCGTATAGATCAGCGGTCGCCACCAGAGAGAGAGAGAGCAATGGAAAGAAAGAGAGAGAGCAAGGGAAGGAAGGGGAGAGAAAGGAAGAAAAAGGAGGAGAGAGAAAAGGGAAAAAGAGAGAGAGAAAGGAAAGGGAAAGAAGGAGAGAGAGCGCAAGGGAAGGAAGAGGAGAGAAGGGGAGGGAAAGGGGGAGAGAGAGAGAGAAAGGGAAAGGAAAGAAAAAGAGAGAGAGAAAGGAAAGGGAAGGGAGGAAAGAGAGAGAGAGGAAGGAGAGAGAGAGAGGCAGGGAGCGGAAGGAAGGTAAGAGAAAGAAAGAGAAGAAAGGAAAGAAAAAGGGACGGAAGGGAAGAAGGAGAGAAACACTGCTAACTTCACAAGCTTATGAATAAGTTGGGTCTCCTCCTGTTTAAGTTTTGTTTGAGAGCGATCACCTTAGTACCCCCACACATTCCCCAAACATCCCATTTGTCACCGGTTGGCAACTTTGCGAGGTTTTGCACCTATTTATCGAGGACTACCTGTGGGCTTTGAGTCTCATTGGCCAAACTCATTGGCCAAACTCAATCCATTGTCTCTAGCAAAGGATCTGGGAACCTTTGAGTATTTTAATCCCGCCCTGTAACATGAGTGGGTGATAAAATCTGAAGGGGTATAGGGTTTCCTGCCTAAGCAGGGGGTTGGACTAGAAGACCTCCAAGGTCCCTTTCAATTCTGTTATTCTATTCCATTCCATTCCATATTTTCTACTCTACTCTACTCTATCCTATTCCTATTCCTATTCCTATTCTACTCTACTCTATTCTACTCCATTCCATTCCATTCTAAATTCCTAATTAATTCCTAATTCCTTTGCTATTCTATTCTATTCTATTCTATTCTATTCTATTCTATTCTATTCTATTCTATTCTATTCTATTCTATTCTACTCTACTCTACTCTACTCTACCCTACCCTATCCTATTCCTATTCCTATTCCTATTCCTATTCCTATTCCTATTCTACTCTACTCTACTCTACTCTATTCCATTCCATTCTAAATTCCTAATTAATTCCTAATTCCTAATTCCTAATTCCAATTCCTAATTCCTTTTCTATTCTATTCTACTCTACTCCATTCCATTCTAAATTCCTAATTAATTCCCAATTCCTTTTCTATTCTACTCTACTCTATTCCTATTCCTATTCCTATTCCTATTCCTATTCCTATTCCTACTCCTACTCTACTCTACTCTCCTCTACTCTCCTCTACTCTACTCTACTCTGTTCCATTCCATTCCATTCCATTCCAAATTCCTAATTAATTCTTAATTTCTGTTCTATTCTATTCTATTCTATTCTATTCTATTCTATTCTATTCTATTCTATTCTGTTCTGTTCTGTTCTGTTCTGTTCTGTTCTGTTCTGTTCTGTTCTATTCTATTCTGAAGGAAGGGTGATTCTTTGTTTTCCTATTTTAAGTAAACTTTTCTGAGAACCTCGGAGAGACGTGAACGATATTTGCAGACCAAATTTGAGTCTGAGTTGCTTTTTTTCCCCCCCAGGGTTTGGGGTCTGAGCTTCCTCGCTCCGTTGGAAAAAGAAGGTGGGGAGTGGGGAGATCTATTCAAGGAATAGCTGAGATGTTTGCAAAAGCTGAAAACCAACCACGCTGAAGAAATAGCAGGGCGTCAGGGCGTGTGCACCGATGCACCCCACTGTTGACGCATTGTTTCTTTTACCCTCCTCCTCCTGCTCCCTTATGCAGAGCCATTCCTGGAAATCAATGGAGCCGAAGCCCATTATCGCGATCCTATTGGGTGCCGCCCAGATTCTGGGATAAGATGGGAATCTGTTTTGAATCTTGTAAATAAATCTACGTGAAGATTTGAATGGGGCGGTTGGCTTGCAGACGTTTCGTGGCCCAGCGGGGGAAAATCATCAGCGATAGAAAGGAGTGGGGTTTGCGAAGGGGAGGAGGAGGAGGAGGAGGAGGAGGACTGTAAGATTCTAGATGCTCCATCCTAGGGCACGCAGGGAGGAGAGGATCAGGGTAAAACGTGGTCTACTTGTGAGGAGAGGGCCATGATCCCTTTCGTGGGTTGCAGGTGGGAGATTTGCATATGAGTGTGGACCTGCGTGCTAACAGACGCTGGAGACAAATTAGTGTTTTATTCCTAAAGAAGGTTTATCTTGGTTGGTGTTCTTCCAACGGACTGTCCCTGGTTATCTTCCTGAAGTTGGCAATTATCTATCCTGGTCTGTCGTGGAACTTTATCCAGTGCGGTTTGTTTTTATTCTTTGCTTCATCATCAGCTCTTTGACTGTGAAGAGTGTTTCTTTCCTTTGAAATGTTATTTTGAAAATAGTTTGCTCCTCCACTGTGAACAATTCAACAGTGAAGCCAAGCTGAAGGTATTAAAGGACGTTTAGTTACGTTTTGGGTTTTGTTATAATTCTGAGATACTCTGGGTCATTACAGGAACATCATAGGTGAGTGGATGCTCTCTGTTTATATACTAGAGTTGGTGTGAATGTTCTTGGTAATTTCTTGATTGGTAGCCAACTCAGAACAAAGAGCAAACCCCAATCCCTTTTTTATCACTGAGGGCATTGCTTAGTTAGAATATAAAATAAGAGAGTTGGAAAGGCCCCTCAAATATTGCATAATTATGACATAATAAATAATCATTAATAAGTATTATTGTATAATAAATATAGTTGTAAAGTACAATATAGTATAGTATAATTGGCTCATAAAACATCTGCAAGGAAATAACTGCACACAGAAAGCACCAAGCGCTCCACAAATAAAGCAATAAATAAATTTGAATCCCACTTATTCCTAAGACCCGAAATGGGAATTGTCAGCATAAAATCTTGTCCCAAAGTAGAAAATGCTACTGCCTATGATTTTCGCAGACAGCTGCATTTCTCTTGGTAGAACTGAAGGCACATACATGCCTGATAACTGCCTTTCTCTTAAGTGTGAGCTTCAACGAGGCTAAAAGTGTGCATAAACCTGGGTGAAGCATTATTACAAAGCGAGCTCCAAAAAGACACCACATTTTCCATTTCTGGATTTTTAAATCCAATTTTAAACTGTTTCAAGCAATGCCAGGGGAATGAAAGTTGAAAAGAAAGAAGGAAGGAAGAAAGGAAGGAAGGAAGGAAGAAAAGAAGAAAAGAAGGAAGGAAGCAAAAGAAAGAAGAGAAAGGAAGGAAGGAAGGAAGGAAGGAAAAAAGGAAGGAAGGAAGGAAAAGAAAGAGGAAGGAAGGAAGAAGGAGAAAGAAAGAAAGAGAAAGGAAGGAAGGAAGAAAAAGAAAGAAAGAGAAAGGAAGGAAAGAAGAAAGGAAAGGAAGGAAGGAAAAGAAAGAAAGGAAGTAAGTAAGAAAGAAAGAAAAAGAAAGAGAAAGGAAGGAAAGAAGGAAAGAAAGAAAGTTCAAAAACCAAAGTGTAAGTTTTAGAGGGTTGTGGGGCTTTTTGGAGTATGGGTGTTGTTTGTGGGAGACACTGCTCTGCAGATTGAGACACTCTGCACATGGCCTGGAAAAATTCTCACCCAGCTCTGAGGAACATATTGTGGGAAATTCAGGGCAGAAAGAAGGCCCAGCCCTTTGGATATATGCTTCTGGCATCATGCTTCAGTTGATTTGATGGATAACCATAGCTGTCCTCAGCTTTCACCCCAGATAATTAACTGGCAATCTGACAAAGAAAGAAATATTTCGCTAGCAACGGGGCGGTAATAAAATTATCTCCTATCTTTGGTAATAAAATTATCTCCTATCTTCCCTGAAGGCCAAATTCCTAAAGAGCAATAAGGATTGTTCCATGGGCTACAGCCAAACTGCTTAAGTAATTTCTTACTTCTCTGCAAAC